GCAATTCTTCCCATCTACACCAGGTTGTAAAATTAGGAATATTCTGATTATAATCGAGCATTGGAATAGATTTTCCGGACTTATAACAACGTAAACATTTTAATGACGAAAGTATATAAAAACTTTACCTCGCAGTGAGCCTGAAATATCGAGTACCAGAAATTGTAATTGCATAACTCATTTCTCTTCATCCTCAGAACCTAACTTCGCAAACAATGGCTCAGGTCGAGTTTCGGCATAGGCTGGAGCTATGAACTTTGGCTCCTTTGCTGCAACATCAACATATTTTAGAATAGCTTCCCTTAGATCTTCATCCATCCATGTCTCTTTAATCAAACCCCCTTTCTGCAGTTACATAAAAATATAACCGTCAACTGTCATATTCTAAAGCATGAAGACTGGGAAATCAAGAAAATATGATAAGAAATACCCACAAACCTTTAGTAGATATTGGGTCAGTAAGCTTCCTTGATGCATAATGTACCGTCAATTGTTGCAAAGCAGTCGGGCATTCTGAAAGGTATTTAGTAGCTAGAGTCATAAGAACTGGAACTGAGTCCTCTCCAGGAATCATCATATTGATAATATTATTTGCTATTAAATCATCGGTCAATTTCTCACTTGTATCATTCAGAAGCACATCCACTACATCTTTTGGAACTTCAATGATTCCTACTACTTCCCTTATTTTGATTCAAAACAAAATAGATAATAACCCTAAAGCTTGAACAAATTGAAAAAGAAAATGAAAATGAATGCAAATTAACATTAACATTTAAGAGATAAATATCTAAATGGCCAAAATAGTTTAGATTTATATCATACCTCTTAAAAGTTCTACCACAACAAAAATAAGAATGCCACCAACCATATATTGAACAAGATGATGAATTTGTGATGGCACTGTAACAAAAAGATTGCATCAGTAAATTAAAATACCTAAAAACAACAAAGGTAAAAACAGAAAGATTAATATATGGTGTTGCATAAATGACCCGAACGAATAAAATCGGTCTTTGCATAAAAAAAAGTAAGAAAAAACTTAAAATAAAATAGAACATACTTTTAGAGCTTTTGTTGTTACCATCATGGTGATGAGTTTCTGGGTTTCCGTTTGGAGTTGTGAAGGTCGAAGAAGAGAAATAGTTGTTATTCGAAACAAAAATCCAATCAATTTATTAGGAAGGTGGTGAAAAGCACAAAATAGCGTTGGGGTTTTCATCGGAGGTGGTGGTAGCTATGGATATGGGGGAGAAAGGAGGCGGAGATGTTAGGGTTTGATGAGAAAACGGGGGAAAGAGAGAGGAGAAGAGAGAATAAGAAAGAGAGAGGGAAGAAAAGTATTCAAAGGAGAGAGAAGCGTTTGGGGAGGCCACCTGGACAATAGAATGAATTTGATTGGTCAATACAATTGCATTTAGCTAATTACAATAAAGGGCATAATGTAGTGTAAATAATTTTAATTGAAAAGTGTATTTTAGGGTGAATGGTAGTATACTATATTAATGGGTAGGTAGTAGATTGTAGTTTGGTCAATGAATTGAAAATGTTTGTGAATGTGGTGAAGGTGTTGTTTAGACCAAAAGTATTGTATTTGAACCCACATAGTGATGTATGAAACAAGAATGAGGTGTCTAAACTAAGAAGGAGGTATTTTAACCAAGAAATGATGATTTACTGAGGGATATTTTAACCAAGAAATGGTGATTAACCATGAATGAGGTATTTTAACCAAGAAAGTGATCGACCAATGCAGTGTTTTAGGGGTTTGCCAGACTCGGGAATCAAGGCCTACAAAGGGGGTTTGCCTAAACTAGGGGATTGGCAAGAAAAACATGTAAGAGTATGCGTGCTTTATCCAAGAGATGGTGATTAACCCGAAGACAAGACAATAATGTGACACATTTTCAAACAACATATATTGAGTGTGGAGGAAGGATGGTGAACCATGTGAAAGTTTACTTAGTTAAGTAATTTGAGAAATATTTCATTTTCAAGTTCTCATTATTGTCTAAATCACCCGCCTTGAATTGAAATCGAGCAATGTGCTCGACGGTGGATTCTCTAGCATCGTTTGCAAAGTTAGTGAACTTATGGATTTTCTAACCCATTGGGAGCTCAACTTGAAATACATACTCTTATAAGGTAGAAACAAAATTTGGCCTATGAAGATCAACATTAAGACCATTTTGAGCTAGAATTTGTTCCACTACATTTGCGATGTTATTTTGCCCCGCAAAATTGTTTTGTTGGATTCTTTCAACCACTTTGTCGACATCCTGGTTCCTATTGACCAACACTATTTTTAGGCCATTTCGATCTAAGTCTCCCTCGACTATCCTGGATATGGGTTGTTCGACCGGTTGAGGCATAACCCTTTGTTGCACTTGATATTTAGGAAAACCTTCATTATTAGCAACTCCTGGATTTTGAGTTGCCCCAACTACTTGGATTTTAGGGACTGGTTGAATAGGCGCTTGGGGAGCACCAAAGAAAATCAACAATTCGACCTATTTGATGCGCCAATTGTTGGTAAGTATGGTATGTGTTTTGAATTAGAGGATTAAACACAATAGTAATTTGTTGGATAAGCAAATTGACCATGTCATGGTTTATATCATCCATTTTTTGCCTTAAAGTCAAGAGGGAACTAGTAGTTAAAAGTGATATAACCTGAGAGATATATCTTAATCCTTTTTGGGTTTATTCAATTTCACTATTGTTGATAGTAGATTCTAATGCTAAGAATTGATTAAGAGGAAATGTAATAGTCATTGCAATATCTGCATAATAGATGCATTAGTTTGTAGGTCTGTCATCATTGCAGTTGACATGCCATACAGATATTCTCTACTACTAGGGCTAACATAAAACTTGGGAGAAAATAAGACATATGGTCTCTTATAGTAGTTTGTGTAACCCTTAGAGTAATTGGAAAACTGGTTGTTTGTGGTGGGGGAATCACCAACTCTGAAAATGTCGTCCAAATTGACATTTGACTTATAACAGGAGTGGTTACTCTAACAGACGTCAAAGTTCCTACACCGCCAACCGCCGATCTGGTTGGTTGTTTTCTACATTTGGAGTGTCGTTCTGGGCCAAGGAAGAGTTTTTCGATGTTGAATGAGCCATCTCAAGGGTTTTACCACTCCTTAGACACATAAACACTCATCCATTGAAAATATTGCATGTATGAAGACTGAAACATACAATAAAAGCACATACACTTTTTTTTTTTTTGTAAAAGTTTAAATTTCTTGCACAAAAGGGTCTTATTGCGCGTTTCAATTTGTTTACTGTTATATTTGGTAAACAAATCACATGTTTAGTTCAATTAAGAGACTAAACTCGAAAAAATTCTAATGACAATTTGTATAAAAATGTTTGAAAAATTGCATTCGTGCTTAACAATTTCACGTTTAAATGTAGAACAATTGGATGCAAATTTCAATAAGTAAAATATAGAATTTGTTGAAATGGTAAAATAAAATGAAGCAAATCATAAATGAAATCAAGTATAATGTTTAAGTTAAAAGTGGAATGTAGAATCATACATTTCTTACAAATTTTTATCTATTAATTTGAATGTTTGAATTCTATAAAAAGCAATAATGAAATATGCAAACTCTAGTGATAAATATCAATTCGGCTTTAATACATGTATATTAGTAATCGTCGACAACGGATAATTTTCTAAAACTTGACATGTACACCATCATATAGTCTTTTGTCCACATATTTTCAATTTTTAAACTACTATAAAATTATAAATGCAGTCGAGAAAAACTTCATGTTTTCCAACTGCCTCCGTCAAAAATCTTTCTGTAAAATTTTATGACTTTAACGTCGAAAATATGATTTAATCATATGTAAATAATATTTTCATATGTTTTACCATCTTGCTAAATTCAAAATTTTAGACTAACAATAATATAATTTAATTAAATTAAATAATTTTAAAAATAACAACAATCATTTATTTCGATTTTTTTCTTCAAAGAGTTTCATATCAATCAATTATATTAAAGCTGTATACATAAAAATTTGGTAACCTTTATTTAATTTAACAATAACATAAAAGGAGCCTATAGTTATTATTTTTAAAATATAATTGATATACGTTTAAATATAAAATAATTTTACACTATTATTTAATAAAAATATATTAATTGATTATATTATATAATTCATTTAAAATTTATAATATAATATAGTATAATACATGAGAATAATTAATTATCAGTGTCAAATTTTAGTGTATATCAATTAAATTTTTATTTTTATATTAATAAATAAATATTAATTCTTTCAACAACAAAAAAAAATGTTTGAAATCATGATAAATTAAAATTATTAATATTTCTAGTTAAAACAATACTAACACCATAATTTATCAAATCAAATATACTGTAAATATCCACTTCTTTTTTGCAATAATAAATCATGACCCAAATAATAAATCCAAAAGACAAGTCTCACAATTGAGACCAAGCAGAAGTTAAAAAAAAAAAGACAATAAGATAGAAGCCAATAACCATTCTTTCCACGTCAGTTTGCGTCAATCTATGGATAAGAACCAATTTTAAACAATTAATTACTTTTTCTTTTTTTAGTAAATAAGTATTCTATTTTTATAAATACTCCTTTTCCTTTGATTCTATAACATATCCTTTGATCTATTCTATTTTCTTCTTCTTCTTCAAACCTCTTTTAAATATTGGAAAAAAGAAAATCTAAGCCCATTATTTATTACAGTTTCAGATTCCCCATCAATATCAAAATCAAGTTGCCGTGCCCATTGTTCCAATTCCAAAACAATATCTTTCTTCATTAATAAAACGACCTCAAGGTTGTTTCTTTACCACAAAACCATTTGTGGGTCGTTGTTTATTTGTGTTGGAAATCTTAAAGTTTGGTCCTTTATAACAAAAACACTTGTGGGTATTTTTGTATCTGTGTAAAGGTTTTCTGGGTTTTTGAGGTTTTTGTGATTTTTAAGAATGGCTGCTACTGCTATTGCTGGTAACGGATCTGCTGTTTCGTGGATGCAATTTGGAAGAAAGGAAAAGAAACAGAATAAGATGAACAGAGTTAGGGTTTGTTGTTCATCTTCAGTAACAGATCCTTATAAGATATTAAGGATTCAACCAGATGCTTCTGAATCTGATGTTAGAAAGGCTTTTAGACAGCTTGCTTTGCAGGTTTGATTATATATCCTATGTTTTTGTCCCAAAATTTTAATTTTTATTAGATTTTTTTAGGGTATAAATATTGAATATTTGGGTTTTATTTATGTTTCAGTATCATCCAGATATTTGCAAAGGAAGTGATTGTGGCGTGCAGTTTCACCTAATCAATGAGGCCTATGATGTGAGTAATTATTATCTTACAAACATTTACCTATAATTTTTCTTCTAAATTTTCATTAAATAGTGAATTTAATTATAGTTATAATTAGTTGAATGAAATGATTTCAGGTTGCGATGGCAAATTTGAGAGAAGAAACAAGGAAGAGTGAAGAGTGTAAGAAGAAGAAGATCTATTATGATGATGAACCATTAAGAGGAATGCATGATCCAGATTGGCAATATTGGGAAGAATGGATGGGTTATGAAGGAGCAGGAATTACTGACTGGTCTTCTCATATTAATCCTTTCATTTGATTAAGTTTATGTTATGTAAATTATTAGTTAACCCTTTTAATTATATGTTTATGTGCATTATTATTAGGTAAATGTTTCTCTACTTGTCCCCATCCAAATGTGGTTGGTGCTATGTATATAGTCGTCTAAGTTGATGCAAATTTTTCTCTGCATTATTGAAAGTTGAGAATATTTGGTTTTGTCTATTATTCTGTATGTTTACTTTTTTTTTTTTTTGGGTTTGTCTTCATGTTTATCTATCAAAATAATAAGATTATAGGTAAGATAGTAAAGAAATAATAAATATTATTTTTTTATGAGCAAATAAATATATTAATATGGGCATAAGTGTTGCTCAACCTTTATAAAGTAGGAAACCATCAAAAGAAGAAAAACTAAAAAGAAAAAAAAAAAACCTTTATAAAGTAGGAAACCATCAAAAGGAAAAAAAAGAAGACGACCTTTATCCGTTTGAATAGAATGATGAATTATTTTGCCGGATCCACAACCAACCGATCACAAAATTGGCCAAGAGTTACTTCTTAGACAAATAATTTGATGATCCTTAATATGTCCATCTTCTCCAATCTCCCCTTCTTCATATAGGATTGATTCATATGTCAATCTCTTTCAATCTCCCTTCTTTATATAGGATAGAATTCTTAGATCTTCACAAGACCTAACAAACCGTTAACCACGTATAATTATAAAACTCAATTTTGAACTTATTTAAATATTTTATCTTAAAATTAAAAAATAATAAAGAATTCTATTCCCGCAAAAGTCAATGTTAAGTCATCCAGAAAGACTTTTCCGAATCAGATTAGTCACATCACAAAAAAAATTCGTTGGCATTAAAGCAAAACATACTGAAATTACTTAAATTAATATCTCTTTTAAATAAATTCAACTTTGTAAGTAACCTATTCAACAAGCATCTCTAATTAAAAATTTAATTTTATTCGGTCTTTGATCTTCAGATATCTGACAAACCTTTAAAAATCAAAGTTTCCGTCTCGATCACCTCATCATAAATTGCTACCAACTGAATGTAGCAACTTGCTTTTGAAAAATCTTTTGAGTCCAATTTCCAAACAAACGAATCTTCTCCCACACACTGAACGTTCTTTAAAAGCTGTTATAACTTCAGAAACTGGTCTGCTATGTAAACCGAAAAAGAACTGCTAAAATCCAAATTATTTCACACCTAATTATCTCCTACCCAAGCACCCATCATCGAAATTATGGACGGTCCTGTAGCACAGTTCCGATACAGATATGGAAAATCAGTCGTAAGCAGTTTCAAACCAATCCAAGCCTGCTGCCAAAAATCGATTATGTTGCCATCCTTGACTTGTTCACAAATTAACTCATTAAACCAATTAACATTCGGATTGAACGTTGTTCCTATAGGTTTTATGTCTCTCCACCACAATTATTGATTTAGTATCACCGCATTAGCATCACAAGAATTAGAAAGGATATTGTAATCCATACCTTGCCTTTAACAGCCCGAACCACAGGTTATCTTTCTCAATCAAAATCCGCTATAACCATTTACTAAGCAGCGCAATGTTAAACCTCCCGACATGTTTGACCCCGAGTCCATCATCCTTTTTAGGCTTACAAATGTCATATCATCTCATCTTATCCAACCAACCTTTTTAACTTCATTAACCCCACCCCAAAGAAATCTCCTTTAAATAGTTATTAATTCTTGTGCAACTACTTTAGGGGCCTTGAAAAAAGAAAGAAAGTAAATCGGGATATTAACCAAAACTATAATCAACATTGTAACTCTTCCGGAAAAAGATAGAGAGACTTGTTATGCCACTCCGAAAGCCCTTGCAACACCTTATAATAACGGGGTTCCAAGTAATTCCTACGATGATTATCCCCAAGCAACATGTTCAAGAACAAAAATGAAATGGTTCCAACCTAGCACGTAAGGAAGGAAGAAGCAGCCTGTAAAAATTCAAAAGTGATATTCACACCAAATACCTAGCTTTTATTCAGATTGAGGCTTAGACTAGAAGCCAATTGAAAACCTCAAAGATAGCTTTCAAGCTTCATAAATTTTCTCACTTTCTATCGCATAACACCATTGTGTCGTATGTAAACTACAACAACTCAAAGTGAACCGAATCACCCACCTTGACACCACTAAACTGCCCCAAATTAATAGCATTTCGCACCAACCCCACTAACCCTTCTGCAGCAATCAGGAACAAAAAGTGAGAGAGCAGATCACCTTGAAAAATCTCTCTACGAACCACAAAGTCCTCTGTTGAGCTACCATTCACAAGGATCAACATAGTGTTGTGGAAGGTCAAGTCGTTCATCCAAAGTAACCACCTTCACCAAACCCAATCTGCCCTAAAATGTTTCTCAAACAATCCCATGATATGCAATCATACACCTCCGCAAAATCGACCTTCATAATTAAAACACTTCTCTTTTTTACGCTTTGTAAAATCCAACATCTCGTTCACCACCAAAATACCATCTAACATTTGCCTTCATGCCAAAAACGTCGTTTGAGATTTCAAAATCAGATTATTCATGACATTCCTGATTCTCTTAGTCGAGATCTCTGATAAAATCCTATAAAGACTATCAATTAGGAAAATTGGTCTAGATTCATCGATCTCTTAAGGATTATCAATTTTCAGCACAAGAGCGAGAAACAACGTCATATTGCCTTTGGCACCCTACGACACTCATGAAACTCATTTACAAATCTGAATAAATCATCTTTAAGAAAACCCCAACAAAACTTAAAGAATCCCAAATAGAACTTGTTCGGATATAGAATTTTATCTTTATCACCACTCCAAACTACATCTTTAATCTCTTCCAAGGTAAAAGGCTCTTCAAGTAATACCTTTTCCTCCAAAAAGAGTTGCCTAAACAACACACCGTCTAATTTAGGCCGCACATAATTTGTTTCTTCAAACCTACTCTCGAAATGTCTTTTGAATTTTGCTTCACTTTGTGCACTTGCTCAATTCTACCTATAGCAGTATTAAGACCCGCAATGTTATTCCTCCTAAGTTTTGTCCTCATAAAATTGTAAAAAAACTTTGTATTACGATCACCCTTTTTTATCCATAAGCTTATAGACTTTTGTGTTAAAATACTATCTCTATTGTGCAATGAATTTCATACCTTCTTAGTAGCCTCCCCCTCTGCCTGACAAGATCCCTCCCATTTGAATTATCTTCCCCCCTCCAATGGCAGCCATATTATCTAACATATTAAGATTCTTAACAACATTAACCACCTCCAAGTTGATAATACTAAAAACATCTTTATTCAAATTCCTCAAAACTCCTCTCAATAGCCTCAACTTCTCTTTCAAAACATATGCAACTTTTCCTTCATCTCTAGTAGACTCCCAAAACTCTTTAATCAAAGGAACGAAATCATCATTATCTAACCAATAATTGAAGAACTTAAACAATTTGGGACCCCAATTAACCTTGGAACCTTTGATCCAAATAGGGGCATGATCCAAAATGTCCCTAAGACCAACATGCTGACAGTTTATATTTCATTTGATAATCAACTCCTTAGATAAAAGAAACTTGTCCAATCTACTCAAAGATTTGTCGTCCAAACTGAAGCAAGTGAACTTATTACCTACAATAGCTACATCTCCCAACTCCATATTCTGGATGAATTAAAAAAGAATCACTCATCTCCCTCAAGTTAACCGCTTCACCTCGACCTTTTCTTTCTAATTCCAGTTTAACAACATTGAAATCACCTACTAAACACCACACTCCACTAGTAAAATTGTTCTTACAGTCTTGGATTTGCTTCCGCCTAATTCTCTTCTTAGGCAAGGATCAAGAGAAGTAAACATTAACAAAAACAAAAAACAAAATGTTCTTGCCTAATCACATTAATTCCAATGAAACCTTCCCAAAATAACTGAAAACCTTGCTCGAATAAATATAATATTAATAATAGGTGGAGGACCTTATTAATAAATAGGTGGTGAAATTGTTACATAAATTAAAATAACAAAAGTGTAAAATAGTAGAAACAAATAATAAATATCATAAAGAGGACATCGGTAAGATGAAGAATAGTGATTTAGAATGAATAGAAGTAATAAATGAATTTAATTACATTTTTAATTTCTATTTATTTTAAATTTAAATAATATTGATTTTTCTGTTTTAAATTTAAATAATTTTGCATTTAAAATTATCAATATTTATATTTTTTAAATAGTAGTTTATTTGTAAAATATAATAAATCATCATATATTAGTATATTATTAATTTTGTAGATAAAAATATAGATGAAAAAAATGAAAAAATCTAATAAACTCTTATGAAATAAAAAACATGAGAGATAAATTAAATTTGTTTAGATTTAAACTGAAATCATAAAATAAAAATGAAAGACTAAATCAATAATTTAACCGACTAAATAATAGAAAATATATTAAAAAACATTAATGTTAAATTAAAATCGTAAAGCAATTTATAATTTGAGATTAAAGCGTGTTATAATTGTAAAAGTATTTAACTATCATTAGTACTACTTTTTTTATTTACTCTTATTTACGTATATTGATCAACTAATGTATATGATGATAATTATTTTACATTATTATTATCATTGAGTTCTGTACAAAATAACAGGACAAAAGTATATTAAAGAAAACTGTATTAATAATTGAAGTTGAGAACAAAAAATTATAAAATATAATTAGTACAAAATATAGTATTGTCATTATAAAATAGAAAATAGACATTAGAATAGAAAAATTAATAAAATGTTAATAAGAAATAAATAAATAAATAAACACTCCGATGTAGAAAAAACAAATGAGTAGAAAAATTAATAAAATATCAATGAGAATTTTTAAAAAAATATGATAATGATAATGAAGAGGCTAATGTCATTATCAAATAATGTGATTGCTAAAATTTTATATTATGATCCCTGTTGCTTCAATAACATTAAAGTGACTCCTACAAATAAAAGTTATTATTTCAATGGTG